AAAACAAAGTCATTTCATTCGTATTCAACACAGACAAAAGTTTAAGTATTTTTCTCCTTATATTATTGAAATTTTTACCAAAAAAATATATCTTGTGACCTTTGAAATAACTAATTACAAATAACATTGCATTATTTTTGTTAAAAAGAAGAAATATTGTTAATTTAAAACAATGCGAACAGCATTTAAGTTTTTTTTTCTCTGATATTCATTTAATTTTATGAAAAACAACCAATCCTGATTTACAAATAGTACTTAAATCCAATTGCGGTTTATAATTTCTATTAAAATAAAGAAAAGAAATGATTTTATTCTTATTCAACACAAATAAATTTTTAACTATTTTCATCCTTATATATATTATTATAATTTTATCCAAAAAATACGGATTCTACAGGTCATCGATCATCGATCATTCATCGATTAGTCAAACATCCGTCACCGATCATTTACCGATTAGTCAAGTTCCGGTCAAACTGTAGTGCCTAAGGTTGCAAGCACTGTATATAGTCATATCACAAAAAGTAACACATCGAGTTTGAGAATCGATAATATTGAGCGATATGTGCGGACGTTTTGTGATTATTGAACATAAAAAAAAAAGGTTTATATATATTTGTTGTCCGTTTTCTTTTTCTCGAGTTTCTATATATATATTGAGTATATTATTTGGTTTTCCTAATCATATCATACGGAGTTACACATCGAGTTTGAATTTCGTTTCGGTTGATTCGATTTTGCAGGATTAGTAGTGTCTGGACATTACAGAAATAAAACCGTGCTGCTACAGAGGTTGATTTAGCTCTGCAATTGTTGGATATAACCGTATATTTACGTCTCTCTACGATTTATTCCTTTTGATTCTCCCTTTAAAACCCTTCAGCCTTTTTTCACCTTACGGCTTTAGTAATGAGCAACACCCGTAAGGCAAAATTATCTACACTTGAAACGGGATATTATAATGTAAAATATTTTATTTAAAAGCAACAAACTACGTTCAGATAATTACATTTTAATATACGAAAAAACATACGACAGGCAGCAACAATACAATCATCATAGAAACAAGTTTAAAATTGTGTACGCCGACGCGCGTTTTGTCTACAAAAGACTCATCAGTGACGCTCAAATAAAAAAAATGTTAGAAAGGACAAATAAAGTACGAGGTTGAAGAGCATTGAGGACCCAAAATAGCGAAAGGTTATGTCAAAGTAAGGTAATCTATTACTGGCCATGGGGTAGAAAATCCAAGGTATTTAAAAAAATTCAACATTAGAACAAATATATTTATAATTATGAACTGACAACTTTCTTTCCGATTTTCGGATGTGGTCGTTTAAGGGCAAACGTCCATTTGTAAATTATATAACAATGACTTTACAACTATATTGCAGCACTCGATCGACCGGACTTGGTCACATTTAATCATCGCAAAAATGTATAGAACATTGACAGGACTAACAAATGTTACTATAATAATATTTCTTTTTTTTTTGGAACCACGAATGGCTTTTATTTCCCTCTTGTAAATGTTGGTTTTGACGGCCGATAACCCACACTATGAACATAAGGATATCATAATAATACACATTAAAAGTAAATATTTAATTATTAAATATTATAGAGAAGTTTTCATTCATGACATACAACTCGCAAATGGTCCATGTGGTCGGAAGAGGACAAATTGCAGAATTTGTATATGCATGCAGGGATTCTATTCATGACTAACATTCAAATGACAATAAATTGAATAAAACTTTAAAATAAAAGGGTTATCACTATTAAGAAAAATTGTTAGGAATGCAATATCAAGGAAAATAATCAGGAAAACACAAATCAGGAAAATTATCATGAAAACAACTAACAAATGACAAAGATTACCATCTGAATGGATACAAATGAAAAGTAGAAAATGGCCCTACACTGCAATAAATAAAAAATTTACAGCGAAATCGTGTCGTAAAATTGTGTACCAATTATGTTTGACATTATACTAGTACGTAAAGAATGTTATCTTTAATGTACATGTTTATATTTGTGTGATTTCTTCATTTCAAGAATTGTTTGCCTATCTTGTCTGCATTTTACTCTTCATGTTTATATACTTTTAATATAAAAAAAAGAAGATCAAGTATGGTTGCAAATAGGACAACTCTTCATTAGAGACTACATGACAAAGAAGTTTGAACACATATTTCCTCCTAAAAATTGCACATTTATTTATATTTGTATTTGATAAGAGAATTGTCATGTGCTGGTGGCGTACGTAGCTCTATAAGACACAACGACCAACTTGCCACTTTTGCATTTTCACCTACTATGGAAAGAAGCGATATCAAAATGTATAAAGTAAACTAACAAAAATACAGAACATCTAGAATTATTCAAAACGGAACGTCCCTTATCAAATGACAAAATTGAAAGCTCAAACACATTAAACGAATTGAAAACAATTGGCACATTTCTGACTTGGTACAAGCCTTTCCTTATGTATAAAATGGTGGATTAAACTGGTTGTATAGCTAGCTAAATCTCTCACTTGTATGACAGTCGCATAAAGTTCCATTATATTTACAACAATGTGTGAGCAAAACAAACAGACATAATAGGTAAAAATGTCAAAAACAGGGGTACAGCAGTCAACATTGTGTATAAATCACTATAAAAAAACCAGATATGTCAACAAAGAAAAACAAAATGGCATATAAACAAAGCACATAAGTAAAAATGAAAGACAAGAATACAAAAAATGACGATAGCACATTAACACAAAGGCGGGATGTATAAGTACCGAGCCACGCGAAGAGGATATTACCAAAAATGGATAAACAGTATAGTAAATAATTTACAAAGACAAATGAAAGAACACTATAACACGTACTTAATATGATAAACAACGTCAGTACCTAGAATCTATAATTCAAGACCATCGTGTATTATTTGTGAAGGTGCTACGGAACATTTATCAACAAGGTCTTGGTATCTTCCGGTGAACTGTTTTAGAAAAAGGACGAGACGGTCTTTGACATAACCCTGGTTCATCAACATTCTGCTCAAACACTGGTGACGTTTTATAAAGTCTGAGTAGCAGCTGCAAGCTCTTGAATACCAAATTGGTTGGGACATGTATATCCAATATGCAAATGAAGTTGGTGTATTATTACTAAGGTGGAGGAAATTGATAACTTCAAAACTAAAATCGTCTCGTTTGTCATAGATTATGGTACTGAGATGACCGCTTATGTCAAATTCGAGTTATAAGTCTTAAAATGAGGCGGAGGAAGTCGTGTCTGTTGTTTCTTTGATTTCTAGTTCTGGAGGATATATTAATGAAACCCAATCAGAAAAGTTTGGATTGTTAATGGAAAGAACATCAGCAATATATCTGAATGTGAAATTAAATGATATGGCTTCTTTGATCTTCTTGTTTTTGACAAGTGTCTGAAGGAACTCCGACTCATATGAAAATAAGAAGAGATCGGCTAAGAGAGGTGCACAGTTCGTTCCCATAGGAATGCCGACAATTTGTTGAAACAGTCTACTTCCAAATTCAACAAATATGTTGTCAATAATAAATTTCAGCATACTGATCACTTGTTCCTAGGTGAAGCATATTTTACCTCTTTGTTCACTATTAACAAATATGCTTTATGGTATCCCAAAATATTTAATTTATAGCGTATGCTACCATTTTTATTTTGAAAAGCATTGTGAATTATTTCTCTTACACGATTTTTCAATTTCACATGGGGAATTGTGGTATACAGGGTTGAAAAATCAAAAGTTTTGATAGAATTAATTTCAGAGAATGATCGAGATTTAAAATTATCCAGAAGTTCTTTAGAGTTTTTTAAAATCCACATATGGTTAATACCACTACGCGAGTAAACAGTTTCACAGTATTTCTAAAGACCGTCTTTCACTGCGGACATAATGTTTGTCAATCTGATAAGCAATTCCTTTGTAGAACATGCAGATGAGCCGGCAATGTACCGTTGTTTGTATGAAATGCTTGAAGCTTAGGTATCCAATACAAACAAGGTAAGTCCTCAGATTTGCTGTTCAATGTAATGTTCATTGAAGCTATGAAGGACTTATAAATCTCATCCTTGTCAAATAATATGTTTTTATATGTGGGATAACCTGAGTGCTCATTTATTCCCATAAATATATATACGTCAAAAATGTAATGTGTAATGTCGCTTGCATATCTGTCCGTCTATCGACGTTATACCTAAATGTAACATACGAGTTTAGCTTATAAATAATAAATATAACAGGTGCCTTTCCTTTTTATTCAAAATATGTCTGATAAAAATTGATTAATAGACATTGTGTTGTTTTATTTTTAATGTACACGTACATGTATGACTCAGAAAATACGACGCTTCTGTTTGTGGCTTTCTTATACGAAGGCATCGCTATTGCACCACATCAAACACAATATAACAAATCATTTAACAATGTTAGGTTCCCCTATTTAACATGTTTAAGGAATCTTTTTCTCAAATTTAATTGTTTATTTTTGTATATGAAAATGTTTGTTTCTTTGTTGGCAAGGTTGTTATAGCAATTCTGGAGCAATAAATACTAATAGAGTCGATGACATTAAAAGGTTAACACCAACACTTTGTTCAGAGAATTGTAAAATGAAACCATATTTTGCATTGAAAGTAAGTAACGTGTTTCCTCCTATTTTAGTTAATGTTAGTGCTATCTACTCAAAAATGAAATTATATTTAAACTATGTGGCAATTATGTAAGGCTTCCTCATCCCTGTTCTGTATGTTGTTGTGCCGTTTTCAATATATAATATATATAGTATTGTAGAAATAAGGCTTTTGATATTGTTTTGAATTTTTACCAAGTAAACAATTTGTCTTTTTCTTTTGAGTGTATTTTTCTCCTTTACATTACGCATAGATGTTATCAGTCCAAGGATTTTCTTTCATAAATTCAGGCATATTTTCATTATACCATTGTGATACATGACCTACTGCAATATTCACCTTTTTATTCAGATACCACCAATGATCTTAACATACGTTATGTATAAACCTAACAAATACACAGTTGCATTATTTAGGTTATTTATGTGATTGAGCCTATTCTGCACTTAGGGTACTTAATTGTACTTGTATTGCAGTACAACTGGTGTCTTTGCCTACATTCTCTTTACAATTTGAATGATGTTGATTCATCAAAGTGCACGTACAAATGTCCAGGTTCAAACAATGATGTATGTGGAGAAAGATCTCATTTTACAGTATACAAGCACATTACCGGTACGTGAAATATTATTTACTCTTGCCTGTTACTTTTGTATACACACAGCTTTTCTTTTCTTTCCACTAATGATCAGAAACACTTACCCATATATATATATATATATATATATATATATATATATGTTATTTTCTCTAAATTATACTCGTCTCGAGTTTTAAACGGTTGTCAATATGGAAAGCTACACACAATACTAGTTCTGCTACAATTATATCGAACCAAATTTCCTTTAAGACAAAGTTCATCAAAACATAATATAACACAATCACCGACGAGGTTCCTGGCTTGGGACAGGCACATTAATATGTTATAGTGTTTAATTACTGTTAATTTTGAAGAATGGACAAAATGTCATGAAAATCTGCAAACAGATATATGTGTCATCATCAGAATGCGAGTTTTTAATGCGAAGCCCATCCAGTCGCAATATTCTCAATAATCAAAACCTCGAAATAATTTCTGAATTTACAGTTGACTTATTGGTGTAAAATATCAACCTTATTATTTCGTCCAATCATCTTGGGAGAACAAAAGATGCATTGTATAACGTTAAATAAAAATAAAAAGAATAAGCTCTCAAACTCCATTTGTAAGGTCAACTAGATAACAAAAACACACGTACAACCAAGACAATTAACACACTATAATTGAGAAAAATTATGTACCTTATAGTTCAGAAGTTTATTATAGTATAATTATACGTAAGGAAATGAAATTTGTCTTATTTTTCATTTAAAAACCGGATATAATGTATAGTTTACGTATACCATTGAGATATCAAGAATTCTCTTGTACACTGTATAAAAGAATGTAGATCACAGAAGCAAGCTCAAAGTACCTCATGTGTTGATACGAAGGCATGCTGCTGCACACCTCAATATCGTTGACTCTCCATTAAGCAAATTAAAGTATTAAACTAAAGCATTATAATAGAAGATTAAATATTCACTTCTGGTGGTGTTACATTTGTGATCATCAATGCTTGATCTTTTTTTGTATTGAAATGTAAAAGTCATTAAAAGGCCAATTAATTTAAACAAAAAGGTCATGATTAGTATCAATTTCTATCATTGATGCTATCAACATCAGCAACGTTCTTCATCTGTTACGACCAGAAATCACTTTTGAATTGTAGCCAACAAAAGACGAAAAATCAATAATAAATTTAATAAGATTTCTAATAAAACAATTTTACAAGAAATATACAAATAGAAATGTCAACTTAACTTATAAAATATATGTCCGATCCTTTCTCTTTTCTTTATCAAGAACTCTTCTTTTAACTTTAACAGAATATGTTCAATAAGTTCACAATCTAGTATGATGTAGTTAACGTACATAAAATTGTCAGTCCAGCAACTCCAGAGAACTTCTGCGAATACAAGTATATTAATATCTGTCTTAAAGTCTAACTTTGGTGTCTGTATATATAGTTGTCATTGAAACTTGCAGAACACTGTAGAAGGGAAACTTCTAGAATATTGCAGGAGTTTAAATTACATATTATGATCATTCCGGAATTATTATGCAAGTCAAATAGAAAGTTCTAATCATTACATCGGTATTTATGATTGTTCAAGTGATTTCCAAACTGGACAGTTATAACATTATTTTGTAAACAACTATAGGGCCACAAAAAAATTACATTATTTTGTAAACAACTATAATGCCACAAAAAAAAAAACAACAAAAAAAAACAAAAATTAGGCCAAGATAAATAAACATGATAATTACAATATCATAAAACTGCCCCCCTTTGAAAAAGTTCGAGTGTAATGAGAACTTTTCATGAACAATATCTTCAAAAATATATAGTATGTATACAGTGTTTAAATAAGATCTAGATGATGCATCTGCTATTATATTATCTTTACAATAACATCATATTCCTGTAACAATAAACTCTATCTAGTCAACTTCTGGTTCTTGTTTCTCATTTTTTTTTTGTTTGAAAGTGAGAGGATAGTGTGATTTAAATATACAGCAAAATGTTTAAGTGCAGACAACAGTGCAAAACACTCTTTTTCAATAGTTGAATAATTTTTCTGATGTTTATCTAATTTCTTAGAAACATAAATCATTTTCTTAAGGTGACTCGGGTGTCTTGCTCCATCTTGGATTTTAAAATAGAAGATAACAGTTGGTTTAAATCTTTGATGAAATGTGCAATTGTTGAGAGTAGTATGTAGTTCATTGATGTAAATATGGAAAATTATGTGTTTTATCATATTTACGGCTGTAATTTCTAAACAAACACCATATTTGTGTTTGATTCATTTTTTCAACTTGACCAAATAAGGGGAGATAACTCAGATAGAAAGGGGAGATAATTCAGATAAAATAATTTTCATAATAGAAAGTGTTGTGAATTTACCTATTTAAATATATAGCAAGAAAACAAATTCGGTGACCTCATTTTTTCTTTTTCTTATCTGAAAGCATGTTATAAGAGCTGTCGTCTCACATTTTTAGCTGAAAATTTTATCATGTAATTTTCTTTTTGTCACACAAAATTGGATTTTCCCTGCATAATCTATATAAAATCTGACAATTTTGCACAACCTGTAGCGTGAAAAAAGGCCGGTGACCCATACTTTTTATTATATTTTTGAAAAACGCATGATAAAAACTTCATTTTGACAAATTATTAAAAACTTCTATGGATTCTGATTAAGACGCCCCAGCCACATTAACATTATCATCTGTGTCTTGATATAAAACAGTTCCACCTCCAACATCACTGGCGTCAACGACAAGATGGAATTGTTTTTTTAAAGTTTTGAGTTATCAGAACTGGACTGTTAATTAAAAGTGATTTGCTATTTTCAAAAGCGTTTTGACAACTATCTCTCCAGATGAATTTAGAATCTTTCCGTAAAAGATGAGTCAATGGATGAACAACAATAGCAGTATTTGAACAGAATTTCCTGTAAAATCCAATCATGCCTAAATATCTCATAAAGTTGTTACTTATTTGTAGGAGGAGGAAATTTGGTAATTGCATCCACTTTAGCCATACTAGGTTTCACTTGACCTTTTCCATGTTGGCCACCTGTATTCCCTAAATAATCAATAGTGGTCTGATTAAATTCACTTTTCCCAAGATTTACAGTTAAATTTGATGATGAAAATCTATCAAAAGTATCATATAAATGTGTTAAATGCTCCTCCCAGCTATCATTACATCCAATAAGACCATCTAATATAAGTATAACAACAGTCTAAATCTTTAAAAAAACACTATTGATCATTCTTTGAAATGTAGCTGGGGCACTTTTCATACCAAACGTCATAACAGTATACTGAAATAGATCGCCTGGTGTGACAAAAGCTGATATTTCAGGAGCTCTCGGTGTCAAGGGCACCTGCCAGTAACCTTTCAATAAATTAAATTTGCTCACAAATTTTGCTTGCACAATATTTTCAATGCAATCGTCTATCCTTGGAATCGGATAGATATCTGATTATGAAGTTGTATTTATTTTTCTGAAATCAGTAACGAAACGAAAGGTTTTATCTGGTTTGGGCACAAGGAGATAAGGAGAGCTCCATTTCTGATTAGTTCAATCTTACTGTCTCTTCCATAGTCATAGAATAAAAAGGAGGTTCAATTATATCTGGTTTGTCATGATCGTTCTCCAATTTAACCATGGCTAAAGTGGTTCCTGGTTTACTGTCACCTTCATTAGAACGCTTAAAATATGGTTTTAACATACTAATATGACATACTCTATTTTGTTTGCGCCGACCTGGAGTTTTACAATATAATTCAAATAATTAATTGTAATCTCTTTTGTATAACGACCACAGTATTTAGCCTGTAATTGATGTCCAGGGACAGGCCAAAATAGAAGTACTTTATCACCAAGCTGAAAAAACTCTGTCCCTGGCATCTTTATCATACCATATTTTCATCTTATTTTGAACATTTTTTTTAATATTTCTGAGCAATTTGAGAAGCAGAATACAATTTTTCTTTAAGTACAGATACATAGTATAGACGATTCAAGTCACTGTGTTCAGTAAGCCATTTTTCCTTAACCAATTTCAAAGGTCCCCTTACAGTATGACCAAACACCAACTCAAAATCGCTAAAACCAAGGGATACTTGAACAGCCCCTCGGACCGCAAAAAGTAGAAAGTGAACACCATCAAACCAGTCCCTGATATTGAAGACAAGGAGTTCTAATCATGTTCTTCAATGTTTGATGAAAACGTGCAAGTGCAATTCTGATGATAAGCACTTGACTTATACTTAAAAATCCCTAACTGGTAAACGACCTGCTGAAAATAAACCTGACATGAAATTTGAACCCTGGTCGGACTATATAGACTTTGGAAGTCCTACTAACGTGAACAATTATATAAGAGCTTTGACAATAGCAGGTGTCTTAATTCCTCAATGGAATAGCCTCAGGAAAGCGAGTGAATGTACATATGATTGTCAATAGATACGCATTGCTAGTCTTGGTCTTCGGTAAAGGTCCAACGCAATCAATACGTACTCGGCTGAAAGGTTTTTAAAGGATGGAATTAGCAGAAGTGGTGCTGGTAATTTTTTCTTGTTAGGCTTACCAACAACCTGGCATATATCATGTATATCGCATAATTTGCAATATTCTGTGACATCATTTCTAAGTCTAGGCCAGTAGAAATGTTGCAAGATCTTAAGGCAAGTCATCCATATACCTAAATGTCCGGCCAAGGGGGTGTCGTGGGCAAGACCAACAATGTTTTGCCTATAAACTTGAGGCACCACCACTCGATATACTACTCTTCATTCCTCCTCTGGGATAGCATCAGGGGCTTCTATTTTCGTATTAAAATGCCGTCGTGATGGTAGTAGCATTCGGCCACTTTGACTGCTTCTTCCTGTGGTTGAGCCTCTTGCAAAGCTGAAGAACCTCAGAGTCTTTATTTTACTCTTCCACAAATTGTCTTTTGTCTAAAGAATGGCTGTTTAAGTCTGGACATGATATAATCACAAGCTTGTTAGAAC